CTGAGGGGCACTGCCACTGCGACTGTCACCCTGAGGGCCCAGTTACACGAGGCGAAAGTTACCACGTCTTCATGTACTCTACGGCGAATTTGAATTCTATTTATTAGGCAATTTGAATTCCTTTGAATAATACAACCGCGCGGCCGCCGCTTACACCAAATTCAAACCAGCCTCGTCCGCGCGCCCGGAACGCTCATTTAAGTTAAAACGTAAAAGCTAAATAAATAGCGCGTATTTTGCTATCAGAGTTAGACGCACGCGGTCGATGCGCGGTGGCAACGCGGTCTCCACACGCCACCGCGCGGGGTGAGCGCGATCAAATTCGTGTCGAATAAATAAATGCGCACAGAGACACAAGTTGACAAGTCCCACGTGCCTAATTTCACCAGCATCTTTACCCTTCAAAACCGGAACGCGGTAATGCTAACATTACTGCTTGGCGGCAGAAATAGATAAGGTGGCAGTACTTCCCTGGACGAACTCTTTCACAAGGAGCTCTACTGCTCTTTTATTTAACTACTTAGTTATGACAAATATTTAGGTACCAAATATGGTACCAATTCAACAAATAGTTACGGAGGTTGATTGATGTAATTTTGGTACCCTGATATTAATGTTTTGTAACTTAATGCATCAAATATATATCCCATTGCTAACCATGGGTATTCTCTAAATATAGGATTAAGAGTTAATATTAAACGATCGTTTTACATGGAGAGTCGTCAGAGCACTTCAACATCAAGCGTGTACGTAAAACTTTATAAAAACACGTGATTAGTAAGACTGCAGTGGGGGAAACATACTCAAAAGTAGGATCCAGACGTACGGGAAAAGGACAGCAGTGTCACTGTGTAAAAAAAACCTGCTACATTCCTTAGGCACAGTCGTGTAAATTTTAAAATAATGAAACTATTTGATATGAGTCTGTTCCTATTTTTCAAATAGTGTTGTTCCTTGAAGACAATTGCGATAAAGTACGTAACATGCATACAGACTTTGGTTGCGGCTTTGCTGCAGTCGCCAATTGGCCACGCATAACGCTTGGCGTATTAGCGAGATTAGCATTGGTACTATTCGGTACTATTGGTACTATTGTATTATTGGCAGATATATATAACTTTTATCAATATTTTTTTCTTTCTATATCTTTTTACCTGACTTCAAAAGAAGTGAAGGTTCTCAATTCGTCTGTATTTTTTATTTTTGTGAACCGATTTCCCAAAGGGGATACTCAGTAGTAATCCCGTTCAAATTCGAAGAAAATATTCCACCTCCTCCTATTCATTCACAATTTCGTATATTGAATTTCCATTAACAAAACTTGGCCCAAAGATGTAATTCCGATGAAAATAAAACAGCGAAAATGCAAAGCAAACTTTTGAGTTCGTTTTTTTTATTATTTGTCTCTTCAGTTCATTCAGCTCAGTTCATTATAAAAAGCTGAAAGAAGCTACAATTACACTGTAAATGCTTTTCCCATAATAAAAATCAGGTCCTGAACTCCCACTATTATTAAGTCATTGTAATTCAAATGATTTAGGCTTAGGCTCCGCCCAATACCGCCCGCCCTCCAAAAATCCCGGATTGCCCAATCCGCCCTCACAACTTCGGTTACTATGAATAATTTATAAAATTTGTCACCGCTTTGCGTCTACATATATTGAATGGATATATTTAATTTTGTAAATTTTATTCGATTTGCTTTATAATAATAATTTATTGTTTCGAGTTTTTAGGTTGTCGCTATTGTTATGTTATACATAGGAAATGAAACTTTTTTCGAGTCAAACTGACTTTTTTTAAAAATAAGTCAACCGTGGCTAAACGTTTGTTTGTTTGCAAAAGCAAATATACACGCGATTAAGATCCAAAGAAATAGTTTCGTTTCCTAAGTAAATTATTGTTCCAAAACCCTTATATTGAGTACAGTATCACTACATTAGGTAAGAACTAAGTATTGCATGTTGCTTGGGAAAAGTCTGGTGCATGTAATAATTATAATACTTAATGATGTAATTTATTATTATATCTCAACATGAACAAAAATATAAGTAAATGATCAAACAAAGAGGGCATGTACATACAGTATACGCGTATTTACTATTTATATAAGGTGCGAAAAACGGTAACTATAGAGTTGGAAATAAGAGAAATTACCCGAAAATAAGTAAATTCTCTTCTTTGAAACTCCTGGATAATAGAGTACAGCAGCTAACTCAACTTCGTATAAATATGCTTATTATAAGAGTCGTAGAGCTCAAACTGGTGTACGGATTTCGAGTTCAATTAAAATTACGACGTCAATGTAACACTATGTTATAATTTAAAAGAAGTTTATTATTAATATTTGTCACACTATTATTTGACGGACTAAAGGTCAAACATAATATATACATACATATTAAAAAATCGATTATAAGCTTCTAAATACAAATTCCGAAATACTGTGGCATTAATTTATTATTAATTTTAACAGTGAAGTGGCCAGATTCTTAAGGTTTCAGAAGATAATATTGATGAAGCTTTAATCACAAGGTGTATTTAGTAATTAATTCGCTTTCTTAAATCTTTCGAAAACCTATTCATACGGTTATATAACTTCAAAGTGATTATAATTATAATAGATAAGTAATTGACAATTTGTTGGCATCCTGTATATACAATGCCGATATCGCATTCTCGACGTACATTTCATTGGTATTGTTAATCATGAATTTTAGGTCACTTCAAGGCCCAATTAAACAAAATAGTTAGTTAATAAGTAATAAAGAGCCGTCTAAACGCGACCAACCTCAAAGTATTTGACAACGATCAAAACGTTTATTTATGGTATTTGCTTTGGCGGAGCATTATGAGAGGGTAGAAAGAGCTACGGAGGGTGAGCGTGGGAGAGTTCGGAGGTAATTAGGTAACACGGATAGACTTTTCATTGTAGACCCTCGTTTTATGTGCTGTCGGTGAAAGTACTTGTGTTGTTATCTGTGTCTAGTGTAAGGAGGAGTGAAGTAACACAGTGTCTTTAGAGCCAATTTAATTTCGTTATTGTGACAGTCTTTATCCTAATATTGATTGTTATAACTTTTTTATAAAAAAACCGACCTCAAAAGTTCGTTTTTTGAATTCCATCTATTTGCCAATTTTTTTTTAAATCGAATTCATCCCCTAGTTTATCACCCTCATAGGTGGAATATTTTCTTAATATTTAAATGGGACCAACACTAAGGCAAGGAATCATCAAAATCGATTCACAAATACCGGAATTATCGCGTAACATGCACACAAAAAAACATACAGTGGAATTGAGAACCTTCTCCTTTTTGTTGTCGGTTAAAAGAGAAACGTTGCTATGACCTTCAACTCGTCTAGTTAAGGATAGAAACATTTCACAATAATTTAAATTAAATTAATATTTGTTAAAATTTTTATTTGTATAATTTACTCGTCAGACGTTCAAAACACAATAATTCACGCCTTTAACATTTTTTGACATTTTGAAGATGTAGCTTTATTACATAATAAAGCTACATCTGTAAAATTTTCAGGAGGGTGATTTATTTTACGAACGAATTTGGTTGGCAACTTTTTTATGCATAAATAGGAGATCATAAAATTTCACATAATATATGTAATTTGTTTTATGTAGTTATAAAGATTTTTATAATTTGCATGTGATATAAGCTCTTTTTACATGTTATCACAGTCATGTGGCTGTTATTCTAAAGTTACGACTTCTCTCAGTTTTACATCAGGGTTATTATTTATCAAAGCAGACGGCACTAATATTCTTCGCTTGTTATAACCTCCTTGTGGTAAAATTTAAATTGTATCATTTTCATATGTTAATCCTACATTTACCGTAAGATAAGAAGATGGACAGTCTGCCAGCCCGACCAAAGGACCAGCAAAAGGCCCGAAATGTTGGTTTGTTTGAAATATACGCTATTACGATCCAAAAAATAGTGACAATAAAAATTTTCCGCACACGTCTGCACATAATTACATACTCGATGATTGTACGTCCATTTTTTGCACTATCAACTTGCGTGTGCTATACATTATTTGCTATGTTTAACAACACCTGTAGCATTGTGCAAAATTAAATGGACTCTACTAAACTAGATACTGCAGTAATTTCGTACAGAAATTCGACATCAGATAATAATTATTTTATAACAATGTTTTTATAATTAAATTTTTATTGAATTGATATTCAATTATTTTTTGTGAAATTACTCCACTAGTTTGTTATAATTATTAATCGAAGGAATTTTTTCTGAGTGTTCGATCTTTGTATTAACAATTATAACAAACTAATGTTTTTATATTTTATCCCCTCTGTTCCTACCCTAATTTGAGGCATCTACTAGATTATTTCGACATGTTGAGCTTGTTAAACGTAAGCTGGGGTATGGCTAAATTAATAAATTTATTTACTTACGTAATTGTCAATATTTTTTTTTACAAATAAGTAAGTGCTATAGCATGTCAGTATTGCTATGAGACTTATTTATGGATGCTTAATTTCTTATCTGTTTTAAAGTTAAGATTTCTTCTACGGTCTCTATGTAGTTTAGTATTAATCGTAACAATATTGACTATTAATTCGTACGCTTGGTATAATAAATTCACATGTGGTCATACGCAAAAATGCTTTTATCACATGAAATTCACAAAAATAAAACGAACTACACGAAACAATGTACGTATGTGAGCAATTTTATAACTGTAAATTGTCATTTTGTAGATGTGACCTTATTATATCAAAGAGCAAATTATAAAATGTTTAATATCGTTCAACATGTGCCTTAAATAATGGTTGGAAACGGGAATTAAGGTCTCACTAAATCTAAAGTATTTTGTATTGAAGTCATAACACACATTACAATCAACAAATGGTCCATTTTCAACCTATTGAATTACCGTTCCCTCTCTCGTGTGATAAAAAAGAAAAGGTTTTTTTTTTCTTTTTTTTACTACATATTCTCTTTCCATTGTTACAGACTTCATTTACTAAAAGTGCGAAATAAAACGATAGCAAAAATGAGTTCTCGATTTGTTATCAAGGTTTACTGAACATGGAAGCGGCACTACCACATTTACATCGATTTTCTTCGACATTCTACCAATATGCAGCACCACCTGTGCAAGTTTCTAGTAATTACCTCCATGATCTTATTCCCCATCAGCATCCTACCCTTCTACAACAATACTTAGCCTATTATAATGAACCCTTGGTCCCGCTCGATTTATCTCTTAAAACGACCACACCGATCACTCCACCTTGTACCCCTCCTCCGTCAAACAAAAGAAAACCTACTGGGAACAATGGTCCTGAGAAATCACCAAAAATATTCCGACACTTCGAGGAAACGGAAACAAAGAACGATCACTCAGAAAAATCTGAAAAAAGAAAAGTCGATGACGATAACTCAAATGACAGCGATAGCCCGGAAGCGAAAAAATTAAAATTCACTAAACAATTTTTCGAAGAGCTACGAACATGCTTGCCACCTGAGACGGAAATATCAAAAAGCGAAAAAAGCTGTTCAGATGTAATTGAAATTAAAGATGTTGAAGAACGTCCTAAAAAATCACCAAAACCAGCCGCTCCGTTGAAGAAAAGTAAAGCCGTTAGGCGACTTATGTTCGACGAGGACAAAACCTCACCGGTCTCAGGAACCATTATTCGTGACTTGGCCGAAGACGAAACACTAGTAGTTCGGAAGGTAATTACTAATTAACTCAGTGTTTACTAGAATGTAGTTAATAAGTTTTAAAGAAATCCTCTGTCTGCAAAGTAAGTTTTAGAAATAAACACCGAAGTTGCACAGGAACTATTAATTAAGGGTTCTTACCATACCATTACAGTGGACTGCAGGCAACTTTTCTTATCGCTTCGGCAATTAAACTGTATGAAATCGAGTATTGTGCTGTGTTTTGCGGTAATAACAGCCTTAAGGGCGAGCCGCAACGCTTATTCGAGGGGCGTGCCGCTGCCGTAGAGACATTAGGAACAAAATAAATCGCCACTTCAATAGTTCCTCTGTTGTACTTACAATACCTTTCTTTGGATTGAAGCAATAAAAGCGTTTAAGTGTACGATTAAGCTAATGTTAAACATTAAAAAAATCAGTGAGATTTTGAGAGGGATTTTTTATATTTTTTAGACGACCTCCAAACAGACCAATTTAAACTTGTAAACATTTTCTAGGGCGATATAGACCCGGCGTTCAACGTGGTGGAAATTACAGAGGAGGCAAAAGCTTTGATCGCATCAATAGAGAACCGACTTGGGAGATACATCTGCAGGCTGTGCCGAAGACTGTATGGGGACGCGTTTGCGCTCGCGCAGCATCGGTGCTCTAGGATCGTACACATTGAGTACCGCTGTCCTGAATGTGACAAGGTGAGTGAGATTTTGAAATAAAAAGTATCTTATTGAGTTCTTAAGTTTTCGCGATTGTTACACATAGGAAATTAAACTGACATCAGCCGTAACCAAGGGACCTACCTGTAAAGGGCTCGAAACAATGGTTTGTTTGAAAAACAAATATCAATAATAAATAAATATAATATAATAAATAAATATTAGATCAGAAAAAATAGTTTCATTTTCCGTCTTCTTATTTTTAGCTTTTTGATTATTTTAGAATAATTAGACACTAATAAACAGCATGACAAAAGAATTAATTGAACTCTTTTAAAAGTACTTATTACTATTTCGGACCGTTTAATTAATATCAGTTATTAAAAGAAATTATTTATTTGGAATAGAAGTTATTTAACAAACAAAGGTCTCCAATCAATAAAACGCATCGTTTATCAAAATTCATCTAAACTCCTGTAATTGGTTTCCTATACCAACCAGTAAACATGAGCGTTAGGGTCATTCCAAAGTTATTGAATATTTTTAATATGAGGACTAATCATAAGGGTAACAATACAAAACAAACTTATGTTTTCTATGGCAAATGTAAAATTCCATCGTTGGTTGGTACAATGTAACTTAAATACTATTATTAGAGCTACGGTTTTTTTTTGTAATGTTACAAATTGTGCAATCAACTGTACGTTGGCACTCATTACAGGAACGTAACTTTGTAGAAATCATTGGAAAAATGTTGAGGCTGGTATCGATCGTCTTGCATACCTTGTTTTTTCTTCAGCGTCTAATCAGTCTGCAGAGATACACACATAAACCTATTATTCTTGTGTGTCATGCTTTTATACGTTTCACAGTCAATAATAGTTATAGGAGCATTCAACATAGTACCATAATATAATAAGACAATAACTCCATACAAATGCGGCATCGCGACTTGCATGCATGTACATGCCCGTCACGCACTGTGTACGGACACACACATTCGCAGAATCTCGCGGTGCACTCGCGTTGCATAGCGCGGGTCATCGAAAGCGCCATTCATTTTAGAATTGAACGTACGCTCGGTGTTTAAAAAATGACATCAAATAGTACAAGTGTTTATTGTTATGTTTGTGTGTCCCTATCTACCGACCCGAGGGATAGGGGACGGCAAGACTAGGGTATAGCGGGCGTCCGGGCCAAGCCCTCCGCTAGTGAAACATTTTCATCGGCGTCTCCAGTGGGCCCGGATTTGGATATAGAATCGCTGGGGTTTGTGGTTAGCTGCAGGGACGAAGACGTTTGTCTGTCCCAGTGGTGTGTGGCCAGGGCTTGCGTCCCGCGGGCAGCTAGCGGTCTAGTTGAGGGCCTGAGGCGAGGAGATGCGCGGGGCACGTGAGTTGTCCTTTAGGTCGATAGCTATGTCCGGTTATTGTCGCAGGACACTGCTACTTGACATCTCCGGCACTAGCTCAGAGAGCTAGTAGGGAATAAGCTAGACATCTTCCGGTCCCTTCGACCGCGTAGGATTGTTGGGAACTGGAGAGACGCCGTTCATTCGGCTTCGGGAAGTGAGCGTGACTTGCAGCTCCGGCACCAATGAGGAGATTTGGTAGTCGACTTAGAATCGGCGGCTGTGGCAATCATTCGTCGTGCGGAGCGCGACGGGAAATGAGCGTGCTCAGCTCCGGTACCGGAAAATAGGGAAGGTGCTGTACGTGCACCCGGGGCGGCTCTCAAAAGGCATTAACCTTACAGAGAACCGGATGAAGTCCGTGCAAACGGGCTGGTCAGGGGTTAGGACTTGTCTTAGATTGTCCCTGTGCGGGTTCGCTCGTACAGGTTGATGAGTGGCAGTATAAACAAAAACTTACGTAGAAAGATATGGGATTGTTGTGTTTGTGGTTGCTTGAATAAGAGTGCTACAAATTCAAAATTGTTACAATATACTTCCATAATCGAGGTACCAGTTCGAGATCCTGGTATAAAAATAACAATAAGTATGTTATTATTGTATTTAACAAAGGTTATTTCAATGTACGAAAATACGTGATGAGCATCTTAATTTTTTCAAATTATGTTTACAATGCAGATACGTACAACTAAAAAAATAATGTGACAACCCTACGCTCCCAGAGAAGTGTAGGTATTTATGCGCCGAACAGGCGGGAGTTGCCCCACTTGTCTTATTTATATTATCCATATATTATCAAAAGTAATTGGGCAGTAAATAAGGCAGATACTTTCTTGATAAGTAAGCAGTGTTGAAGAAAAAAACCACTGTTTGTTTTTGTTAAAATTTACTTTCAGTGAATTCTCCTACCAATTTTTAAGCTTCAATTAATTTTTGACCCCCTAAGTCTGCTCTTGTAATGCAATCATAATTAAAATTTTTCTTTGAGAAGTACTTTTTGTAACAGTAGAGCTCCTTGTGAAAGAGTTCGTCCAGGGTAAGCGCTGCCACCTTACCTATTTCTGCCGCCAAGCAGTAATGTTATTATTACTGTTTTTTCGGTTTTGAAGAGTAAGGGATGGGACACATGGGACTTTTCAAGTTATGTCTCAGGGTGATGGGCACAGAGCCACCTCACCTGCACCTCAGATCTTTTCGATTTAAAACTCTGAGTGGCAATGCAAATGTTATGAACAGGCGTGTCGTTTACCATCAGGCGCATGACTCATTCGTCCCATCACTTAGAATCATAAAAAAATTAAAAGAAAAAATCACTGTTTCTTTTTGTTTTTTTTTTTCCTGACTAAGTTTGCTCTTGAAATGCAATCATAATTAAAATTTTCCTTTGAGAAGTACACATTTATCTGGAGTGACTGTAAATTAATTACTACTATGTTTTACATTGGCAATACAAGGCAAGAACACCATTGTTTTCAATTGAGTTAGCGCGTAAATATTCCTACAACTTCATTCATTGTTTTGTTTCCTCTATTACACGTAATTGAATATCTTACGATAACGTTAAACAACATAAAAATGTTGTCAGCAGGTTAACATTTATCATGACAATAGATTTAGATACTACGGTATATGCTCTAATTCTATGGACATGTTGATGGAACGAAAATTAAATGGTCGATTTTTTTTTGTAGTACACAAGTTTCTATCTAACCTTCCTTATACAACTTATAGAAGTTCCAATACTTTTTTTTAATTACGATCTATTTATTTATACTTACAATTTCTTCACACAGGTCTTCAACTGCCCTGCGAACCTAGCATCACATCGTCGCTGGCACAAACCGCGCGTGGCCGGGCCGACAAAGCGTCGCGAGGCTCCCACCACGGAGTCGGGTAGATTCCCTTGCCAACAATGTGGAAAGATGTTCAGGAGACAAGCTTATTTAAAGAAGCATCTCCTAGCCCATGAACAGCCAGAGCCTGAAGAGAAAGAGCCGTCGGCATTTAGGCAGGTCCATTCTGAATACTCTGCTTATCAACCGGTAAGTGGGAATGTCGTTACTTTTTGGTTTTAGAATATTACCGTTTAGTTATAGGTAAACCAAGAATCTTCAGATAAACTTTTAGAACTCATAACATTGATGAAAGCTATTTTTATCAATCTTAGACTAGGATTAGTCTCTTAACAAATGTGCGTGAGCTGCGTATTATAAACATTTGTGAGTGATGTAGAACAACGTACTATTACGTCTTTTAAATTATTTTATTTTATCGAAAATCGTAAGAGAACGCTATTTGGCCATACTAAATATTTATAGTGACGACATTGGTCTACAATATATCAAAATAATTAATCTCTAGCGACACGCCATATCGAAATTGCAACGGATAAGGCTGCTAACAGATTGACTGCATGTTTGCAGTTAATGCATGAAGTCTTAATCAACTTCATGTCAGTCAGTCGAGGTCTCGGCTGCATGAAGTTGATAACGACTTCATGCATTAACTGCAAACGTGCAGTCAATCTATTAGCAACCTGAGTAAGTACTACTCACATATACCAGTGATCGTTGGCACACACACGCAACGTCAACGTTTATTGATGTCAGTATCATTATTTGTTACATTCATTTAATAGCCTGTAGAAGAAAGGTTATAAACGTTTGCATTATGTAAGTATGAGCAATATCTGCCACAGCACAGCGCATCAATTGGCAAAAGCATGATGCTTGCGCGAATATGTTAAGGAAGTCACCACAGTTGTCGACACGGAATACTATTAAGCCGGTCAGAAAAAGCTGAAATCTGTAGGAACATGTTTAGCATTATTAAGCATTTCAGATTTAGAATTGGTATGTGCCCCGCAAGCTACCAATCGTTCCCTTATCACCGTTGTTAACCTCATCACTGTTTATGCTCGACGGAGTCATCTCCTTGATGAAACGTTATTCCGTATTCCAGAAATTCCATGATGAAGGTAGTACAGTCCAAATGCCAGTGGTAACCAGTTTAGGGTTATAAATGTGATCTTTATAGTGAATTAATAACATTTATTTTCCACGTCCAAATCATAAAATGTTGTACCCATTTAATTTATGCGGACGGCGATAAGGCAACGACTGGTAGCTCGCAGAACGCGTACCAATGCTAAATCTGAAAATGTTGCTAATATATAAATGCTAAATGTGTCTCTAGGTGTAAGGGGCGCCACCTAACATCTACGGTGCTCAATAGCTAACCTCGCCGGCACGCGGTACACCCTGCTCCTACCAACGAGGCTCTGGCGACCTGCCAACGCGCATTGGACCGACGTGACGGGGAAATGGTCTAAACCCCACAATGTATAGCACAAAAAATTATCTCGAAGTGCCCGGCGGTGCCAGTAGCAATCGAGGCGCTGACGGATGTCGTGGAAGCTCTCGCAACAGGGGTTCTAATCTCTGGGTGGGATTCAACCGTCGAACGACACTGGCCCTGGCAACGTACAATTCACCCACACTGCGGTCGGACGAGAGGATCACCAAGCTGGAAGAGGAGGTGGATATGTTACACTGATAGCCCTGAAATCTGGCAATTTGTTCTACTTCAGGGAAGGTGACCAGAAGTCCCAGGGTGGTGTCGGGTTTATCGTCCACAAATCCCTTATTGGCAACATTACATCCATCGGGAGTGTGTCGAGCAGGGTTAGAGTACCTTATACTCAGAGTATCCAAGCGCTACTCGCTGAAGGTCATACAGGTTTACGCACCGACCTTGACACACCCAGATGAGGAGGTAAAGGCTATATACGAGGACATAAGTCAAGCCATGCGTACCTCCCAAATACACTTCAATGTTGTTATGGGGGATTTCAACACCAAACTGGGCAGTCGAATGGTTGATGAGCCGAGAGTGGGGAAATTTGGTTATAGGGAGCGAAATTCCAGCGGCCAAAGGCTGGCCGACTTCTTGGAATAGGAGGGACTCCTAATGATGAACTCTTTCCTCCAAAAACCGCCTCAAAGGAATTGGGCCTGGTTAAGTCCCGATGGTGTCACAAAGAATGAGATAGACTTCATATTGACCGACAAGAGACAGATATTCAACAAGGTTTCGGTGATCAATAAGGTGAAAACTGGAAGCGATCACAGGATAGTAAGAGGCTTGTTGAATCTCGATGTCAAACGTGAAAGGTCACGACTGATGAAGTCTACTCTGCGACCCAGAGGTGCCCATATAAATGACCCCGAAAAGTTTTGGCTCGATCTTCAAAATCGTTTCGACTGCCTACAGGACTGCGTCTCTGTGGACGAGAATAGCAACAGGTTGGTGGAGACCGTCCACACGGTTGCGTCAAAATTCTTCTGGACCCGTCGCAAGGATAGGCCGCAGAAACTGTCCGATCATGTTCTCAAGTTAATGGCAAATCGACGCGATATGACGCTGCAGTCTTCCGATAAGGCTAAAGGTTACAGACAACTCAATGGAAACCTAGAAATCCGACACGACATACGGGTCTACAATACCAATAATATTAAAGATACCATAGAGCGGAACAAGGGCTCCAAAGCGTTTGCACGGGACATGTCTATGGGGCAAAGTCAGCTTACAAAGCCGAAGACGGAGGATGGCAGCGTTATAACGTCCAAGCTAGAGGTATTGGGGGAGATCGAGAGGTTTTATATCAAATTACTCAGCCTGTTGCTGATTCTAAAGATTCTAGAGCCAAGCTCACCCGACACTATACTGAGGATATCCCGGACATCGGTCTGTACGAGGTTAAGATGGCTCTGAAACAGCTAAATAACAACAAGGCACCGGGTGAAGACGGAATTACATCCGAGCTTTTGAAAGCGGGTGGAACACCGGTACTAAGAGTCCTTCGGAGGCTCTTTAATTCAGTCTTACTCTAAGGTTCTACGCCAGAAGCGTGGAATAGAAGCGTGGTGATACTCTTCTTCAAAAAGGGAGATAACACCCTTTTGAAGAATTACAGACTCATCTCGCTTCTAAGCCACGTTTATAAGCTGTTTTCACGAGTCATCATGAACCGTCTATCCAATTGCAAAGAGGAGTGCGACAAGGAGACAACATTTCTCCGAAACTGTTCACCACTGCATTGGAAGATACCTTCAAGTTACTGAACTGGAAAGGACTCGGCATCAACATTAACGGCGAGTACATTACTCACCGTCGATTTGCTGACGATATCCTGGTCATGGCAGAATCGTTGGAAGAGCTTGACACTATGCTGGGTGACCTCAATAGAGTTTCCCAGCAGGTGGGTCTAAAAATGAACATGGACAAGACGAAACTTATGTCGAATGTCATTGTCGTACCTACTCCTGTAACAGTGGGAACCTCTACTCTCGAAGTTGTTGAGGAGTATGTCTACCTCGGACCAACCGTCCAATTAGGCAGGGCCAACTTCGAGAAAGAGGTCAATCGTCGAATCCGACTCGGTTGGGCAGCTTTCGGGAAGCTCCGTGACGTCTTCTCGTCTGCAATACCGCCGTCCTTATGACCTACGGCTCTGAGACATGGTCACTTTCTATGGGCCTCATAAAAAAGTTCGTAGTCCCTCAACGAGTTATGGAGCGAGCAATGCTCGGCATTTCTCTTCGTGATCGAATTAGAAATGATTCGATCACGTAGAGAAATGCCGAAACGTCGGTAGTCCGAGCGTAAGCGAAACATATCGTGTCTTTTTTGCTCTTATAGCATGAACATAAAGCCTTTTCTGACCGTCTCAAGCTGATTTTGTGTTAATAAGTGTAATGTCTGCCTTATTATAGAATCTAGGGCAATGAACTTCTTTTGTTACAATGAGACCAATAGCAACTTCTCGGTTAAACTTCTATTTGCTATTAAATGTATTCTTGCATAGGTAGGTAGTTATTTTCAAACTAACTTTTGACTTTGAACTGCCTCTGTGGCCGAACGGTTACCACGCCGGACTGCCACGCAGAGGTCCCAGGTTCGATTCCCAGGTCGAGAGAAATATTTGTATGGCCTACATTTATTTCTCTCGTGAGTTTGGGTGTAATTTGTGGTTTTTCTATGTGTGTGTCCATGGCACCCGCGACACAGGGTTTTCCCTAGTGCGGGGCTATGTTGAGTGTGTGCGTTATTATTATTATTATTATTTGTAAACAGGAAACCTTCCGAGACAACAACTTCAACACTTTCTGGAACAAGATTCCCCCACCACCTCAGGATGTACATTGGGACGGAATGCGTCCGCGCTGCGCTTCATCATGCTCTTCAGAAGATTCTAGAAGTTTAGACGTAACGGGATCGGAGGACGAAGGCGGAGGTGCGGGAGAGGGGTGACGGCTCGTGCTGCGGCCCGTGCCGCGGTTCCCTCCGTACACACCCGTTCCTAATCCACTTTACTCCTATCCGTACTCTGCGGACGCACAGCTCTATTTCTCTTAAACATTAACAACGTAAGTTGCACGAATGGATTTAGAATCTTAAATAAACTTGCACATAAACTTTAAAAATGGTAAGTAGTGAAGTACATAGTAATCATCCAATTCTTCTTGTTCTTATCGTATCGTGGTAAAAGGATTTGTGAATCGGCGTAAAGCACTCGCCGATTGTTTCCTAGGGTGCATGCACCCAGACGGGCTCCTTTCGTGCACCCCAATATCACTTACATATCACTCAATAATATACCTACATATAAATATCATATCGTAATACAATTGCGATGTCCTCAGACAATGTTTACACTTGACAATCGGTGATAGAAGAGTCATTTTGGAGGATGTGCCCGTGTTATGTGGCACTTTCCTTTAAAATGACTTCTTGTTGCTTTTGAATCGATATCAAATTGTAAGTCTGAGAACGTCTATAGATGTATAGTATAAAATTGTAGAAATAGTTCATTTATCAATTAATTTATAGTATTTATTAGTCTTTTTTAAGCATACTTATGATAGTTGTTTAAAATGTGTGCTTTTGTCTTGATAATTTATCTATATAGTGATAATGTGTATATACATATAATTGTAAATTTGAATTATCTCCTACAGCGACATTCCAAAACAAATTGCGTAAATATGTAAGACATTACACGCTTGTACATATTTGTTATCGCACTTTAATGGTATACATATATAGGCTATTTTTATTAAATCCGACATATCTTATCGCGGCATTTATATAATTAAACAAACAACTTTCGCGCTACTGTTTTTTTAGACGATATCTTATTCCTTCCCGTGTACAAGTAAAATAGACAAATAAAGTAGGTTTCTTTTAGTCGTAGAACAAAGGACGTTTATTTTATTGATAGAAATGCCGTATATATAATAAGATTGGCTTTTAACAAATTTCTAGATATTGTTCAGCACTTTGAAGGGTCAGATAATTTTATCGCTAACTATATCATCTTGTACGAATATATAACAAATACTTTTATCCCTTTCTCTTTATATCAAATAAAAAATAATACCTTTCTCTTACTCTACAAGATGATGTAGTCACGAGACCACATAATGCGCACCCTAAGTATAATAAGGAGAAACTTTTCAGGATAGAGGTTTAACGATTCTGTGAACGCAATTAGTCAATAATTTTTAATACTCTCTAGTGCAATCAGTGTAGATCGCATTATTTTTATGATGACGTGTGGCTTTATTATACCAAGAGTAGGAATATGTATTTACATTTCTTTTTCCGAAGCCAGGCTAAAAGTGCCGTACCATTTTCTAAGTATTAGCAGACATGTAAGAAGATACTGATAAGAGTGGGGCACGCGAAAAACGTTTGTCAGGAACTTCGTAAGTGAAGGAGCATGGTCTTTGCTTACCCTTGTGCAATGGGTATGATGGTATGTACATATGATTTTTTTCCATACGTATTTCTTGGGGAAAGTTATTCAGATACATTTCGTGTACCTGTGGTTTTAAGTCAGAATTTTTTACAATGTATAGGTTGTGATCGATAAGTGTGCCCAGGCAATTATTCCGTAAATATAAAAGATATCAAAAACATTTAAACTAACGGTAGCTAATTACTAAAACGACATCAAAAACTTTTTTTAAACAAAATTAAAAATATCCAAGATGTACATGTTAAACGCTCCCTTACGTTTAATATAACATTCGTAGAGGGGTTTTAGTTGACCTACTTTAAGAGGTAACATGAATTTACTGATAATAAACCTGCTATAAATGAAATAATAAAACTGTATTTTAATTGAATAAAAACAAAGCGTTGTTTATTTTTAAGTAACTACAACATTTTGTATTCAAAGCAGTTGTTCAAAACTATTTAATGGGAGCCTATGCGTATGGGACCGTTTACCCTAAAATTATGAATATTTCTAGTTTTATTTTTTTTTCATTATTGATGTCGTTTTACGCATTAGGTAACGCACTTTCGATATCAGTTTAAAGGTTTTAGATATCTCTTAATATTTACGGTGTTATTGCCTCGGCACCCTTAACGATTACACTCTGTGTATTATGTACAATGTAGATCTCTTTGCACATTTCGGGAACTCAAAAATTGTCTTTATAAATACCCATCAAGACATCCATCCGCATTCAGGCATTCGAAAACAACATTCGATCGGACACGAATCGATCGGTGCATAGGCATATTTTTAGATGCACCTCGCTGTCTAATAATTTTTTCAAAGCACAGGCTCATCGGAATTGACCGTCGCTTGTAACTAGGTCTGTAACTTACATAAAAATAACCTGTCATCATATATTCTCACGGACAATTAATTCGGGTAGCTAACAAAATTAGACTTAATTCAAAATATAAAGCTACGAGTTTCAAATAAATATTATTTACCAACAACATATTATTATATTGTTCGTAAACAATAAAACCATATCTGTCAAAAATAAAAAAGTTAGAACCGATTTTAGTCTAAGTCAATACACATATAACGAATCTGATTCTAAATCTGATATTTTCGAGGTTATGTAAAACTGTAGAGTGAAGTTCAAAAATAAATATAAAATCTTGAAGATAATGTTATGTCTGTAATGGTAGGTAGGTTTGGGGTTCCATGGAATATTTCGAATGCTATACACGCGTAGGCTATAACAACCGTGGTAGTCAAGCAAAGGCTCATGAGTTCGAATCCGGGCTTGCACTTCAGAGTTTCGGAATTTATGTACGAAATTTTATTTGAAATTTACCCTGAGGTTTTCGGTGAAGGAATACATCGACAGGAAACCTGCACACACCTGCTTTTGCATTTTATGATGTCTGTGAATTTCCAAATGCGACTTAGGCCCTCGAGGGAAGTACAGGCTAAACCGTCTATTGCGATCCTAGGTTTATGCTCAACAGTAGGACTGCATAATAGGTTATTAAGTAATTAATTCTTAATACTCGTATGCATTGTATATTGTAAATGTATAATATTTATTTTTATGCAATGCAAATTTGAACAACACTAAAGGGAAAAAAGAATTTGGAACTCTTTTTAATTCCAATTCATCTTTTTAGTCCTATTTACCTACGCATTAAAAATAGTTGTTTGTCATGCAAGGCTGCAAAGTTGTTGTTTGACACGAGTGCTTGCATTGAAACCTGAGCAAGCGAAGGAAGCCAAGAAAATAGATTCCTGAGCTTAGTCAGAGTTTCAAGGCAGGAGTCGCAAAACAACTTTGCTGCCGAGCGAAACACAACTTTTCATCTCACTATAGTGAGGAAAATGGTAGATGAAAGAAAAACAGTTGAACTATAAAACATCAGATTTTTTATTAAAAGTTTATATTCAGATGCGTTCTGAATTTACACTTCATCAATTTTTATTCTTGTTTGTACTTTTATTTTGAGTGATTAAGTGATTATTGAAATTATTTTAGTTCTTCGACGAATTAAAATAATTTAATAAACACAATTAGTTATCATTGTCTATTTAATGTCAACAATGATAAGAATAGAATATACCAACGGATTTATATTACTTAAATATGTAATATACGACAAATCGCGTAGGTAAACGTGTCATTATCTTTTTTTTCATCCAAAGAAAAAGTTAGGTGTACCACAGTCCATCGTGTAGTTTGAATTTTAAAAACTTTTCCACACTGGCGTTAAAAAAAAACTCTTTGGCGCGCTGATTTCTAATGACAAAGAAAGCCTTTCCGAGCTAGTGAGGTGAAAAAACTTATTGTCATTGATCTGAATTCATTTGCCGTGATTATATTATGTTGTTTGATATTCTAACATCATTATCTATGAAATTATATTATTAAGATGCTTAATACGCTTAGAGTTTAGTATAAGTATATGCCAAGTTATAGTCGTAAGAAGTGGTCGAATACAGAACAGGTTGTAAGCAGAAAAAGGCAAATGAAGAACTGGTCCCTAAACGTCAAAACGGTATTGATATATACTTTAAAAGTAACGTGAAACTTAGGTGTAGACTCTTTGTAAATAGTTGACAGAAGAAATAGGAAAAGGTGTTACAGTAGTTGTCTACCATTTGTTTGGTAAAAAGATAAGTAATCTCTTTTTTAATTATTTATTATATTCTCCATTTTTTTTGTACACCTTTATGGTGAAGTGAATTTATGCCGAAAGACTGCGGTGGAATAATATTCCGTATTTTTGTCTCAGGGTGACGGGCACAGTGGCAGTGCACCTCAGATCTTTGCCATTTAAAGAGTTAAGTGGCACTGCAAGTGTTATGGACAGGCGTGTAGCTTACCATCAGGCGCACAACTTGTTACTACCGTCACTTGATACTATAAAAAAAAACATATAAATATTGTCGTTTTAACATTCGCACCAGAAACCAAATAACTCAAAAATTATGGAATAGAGAAAACACCACTTGAAAGTTCAAAAAAAAACGCTTAATGGATAATTAATTATTATCTATATACAATATATCGGCGGGGACAGTGCAAATCCGCGTATCTAGTATTGGTAAAAGGTCTGCACTACACCAAATTTGACAGGAGAGCGATTTAACGTTATTACTTTGTAATTTAAATGGCTACGACTTTCGTTTTTGCACAGTAAACATTAATTAATGTTGCCTACCGACTGGTAACAATAGATTCCCTTAAATCGAGCTAATTTGATTGCTACGGCATTTACACGGATTTGAATTGGCCACTAAATTAACATAATGGAAACTCATAATCCAATGCATTATCCCTATAATAAGATTCATTCATTTTTTTAACCGACTTCAAAAAAGGAGTAGGTTCTCAATTCGACTGTATTTTTTTTTGTATATACACACATCAAAAAAAGTTTGCGATCAATAGCATAAGCTCCTATAAAGAAAAAATCTATGTTGTATGCTTTCTTTAAATAGGAATACCCTGTTTGAAATTAAAATATAAAACTATTTTTTATTATTTATTTTAAAAAATTGAGCCATCAATCATAATGTAATAGTGATAGAAATTTCATAGAAAGAAAAAGGCTGTTTAATTAAACTTAAACAACAATTTATTATTAAAAGGTGTGAATTCAATATAAAATAACTCCTCCCCTGGCTCGAATACATGCGAAGATCCTCCTGGGCATGCTGAGGATCAAGTTATCCAGCATTTCCTGGGGTAACCTATCCCATTCTTCAATAGCGGCTTCCCTGAGCTCTGGAACTGTCTGGGGACGTGGCTCACGGTTCCATACTGCTCGTTTAAGAGCATCCCACGCGTGCTCTATT